AAAACAAGTGATCTGATGTTCCAGTAGCATGCTTACAGATACCTATATCTGACCAGGAACTGCTTGTAAATCTATAATTAGTTATCATAGTTTAAACAGACTGAGAAAGTAACTGGAGCCTTTTTGAATAAACATAATTGTCAGTATAGCAAGCCCCCTGCATTATGAATTCCACCATTATTGCTGTTGCAAAGATGGCATTAGACGAATATCATTTTGTGAATTAACCTTTTTCAATTCATAGTTTATTATAACCTAGAAGAGTCAATTTGTGAAGACTTTTTTTACATGACTCTTGCTGCTTTAAACACTTATTACTTGCTCTTTACCCTTTGAACATATTTGGTTATACTTGCCTGGCATAATGTATAACCCTAGGTCACAAAGCTGTAGCAAACCCTTTTAATTTATGGAGGGTTTCATTTTCGCCTACTATTATAAAGATGGCAAAATTGCCTAAATTTCTGACAATAACATCAGGCTGGCTAAGGACACAAAAATAACTGTGTCCTGTGACCAACGACTTTACCATCATTTAAGCTTTGATTATGTAACCAGCAGTGCACCCACTTTTCCTGACTAATTAATAACTTAAAAAGTACTCATCACCCAGTATAATGCTCTGTAATAACTGAAAAGCACCATGTCAAACTCAACATATCCCAAAATATTTTTCTTTCCTAATTATACTTTACTATTAATACAAGGCATAGTCAATAATTGATTAAAATAATATTATGATGAGATTGGCTGCTTCTACAAATAAAGTTTGTTTACACTATACTTAGCAATTTCTATATTGATGTTTTTCCACTGAAAGAGAAAAAGAATACTACCTATTTTAAAATTGGTATAATATCACAAAAACTGTTCCCTGAACTCTCTCTATATTTTTAAAATAATACTTCATTGTTGAGGGGGAAAAAAGCAATAATTGCTATTTATGGAGGACCTACACAAAAACAATATTTTAAGGTTAACTCCTCTCTTCATTGGCTTTGAAGCAGCAGTCAGCTAACAATACAACTTGCCCTTGCTGTGCTGACAATGAGTCCAGTGTGCAAAAAAGAAATTAAACAAAAAAAGACATTTTAATTTCAAGGTTCACTGGAAAAAACATGGAAAAAAAATCAATGTTTGCCAAATTGAAAGACAAACTCAGAAGGGAAATAAAAAAATTTATTTACAAGATTGAGGGTTTTATAAATAATGGGGAGTTGAAAAAAACAAAAAGAAAATATGTCAGTCTTAGTTCTGGATATCTGTGTAAAATTTCTGATTATTCATGTATAATACAAGACACCATGAAAACAGACAATTATATTGTTAGCAGTTCCATATTTATTAGAAAAAATTATAATTATAAGGCTAGTCACCAATGTGCATGAATTTAGAGTGAATGATACTGCAAGGTATTTGGAATACCCTACTCAGATCATATTGCTTGTGGCTCTCTTCCTTAGAATTTTTCAATCTTCCACTCTTCTTTTATTCTCTCTCTCACACGAGGCAACTATTCTTTTTAAATTCTTCTCCTACGTGGAAAAAAACACTCTTTTCCTCCGCAGGCCCTCCATGCTGCTGTCTAAATAGAGCGAAGTCCTTGCAAGGACTTCTGAACACAAAAAACAATGGTCAGGTCTAGAGCTGGATGGTGAACTAGGTTTCTGGTTTGGATAGTTTTCACTCTGAATAATAAACACGTGACTCTGCCTAAGGAATAGGGTGATATGTGCTTTAGAAATGCTGATGGATCAGTGAGATAGAATCCATTTTGTACACTGTTACTTTTTCGCTCCCACTTCGCTATCAAATCTCTATGTGTGGGTACCACTAAGAAGGGTCCTGGATTCCTCTGAAGCTAAACTGTTTATTTTATTATTACCATATAGCAGCACATGTGTGCCTGGTGCTTTACAGATAAGTAAGAAGACAAGGTCCTTGCCCTGTTGAGTTTAGAATCTATCTTATATAGACAACACAACAAAACTGATATCATTTCTGGAGGTAGAGTAGGGTCATCTGACAACGTAGTTGTCCCTTGATAAATTTGCCAGAGAATGATTCCACTCCTTGGCGAGCCCCGTTATACTGCTGGAATAATTATTGAGCATACCCCAGGGGGGTAGGCAGTTTGCTTTGGCATGTTGCCTTACCACTAATTATTTAATATTGGCTCATCTCCAGTCCTGATATATGGTCTGTGTGGGTTTTTTTCAGTTCTGGGGCCACTGTTTGTTTTTAAAATGGGGAATGAAGACTGGCTTTTCTGAACAATACTTTGTAAGAGCTTGTGCTAACATCCTGCTATTCTGATGTTTTCCATAAGGGGGCATGAGTGTAACTGGACACTGCAACTACAGCGCCAGCAGCGTAATTCTCAGACTCAGTCCTAATGACTTTGGAGGGCTTTACGAATCTAGACAGGTAGCATCAACTGATTTATTTCTTTTTTCTTGTTATTTTTCTCTCCATTTGGTCACTAAGTTATTAACCACAAACAGAGAGAAAAGATTAAAAAACCCAGACACTTCGATAAGAAGATGAAAATGTCTCTCAGTGCCAGGGCTTTCTACTATACCACACAGATGACAGTGTAAAGCTTTCTCTTGGACAGAGAAAATCATGGTCAGAGAGCGCGCAGCCAATGAACCCTTTGGGACCGATTTTCTGTTTATGACATTCTGGCTCCTGTTAGGCAGTCTCTATAACGAAAGCCTGAAGAGAGAGCTCAAGCTTCACCTATGCATAATATTCCACCCTCCATCCCCGCTCCAAAAACCCTCCCAAACCAAACAGCCCACCAGCCCACAGACATTGTTTTAATTTCATAACAATGGGTAATTCTAAATAACTTTGGTATTTAGTATTTTATCTAGATTAAAAACCTAATTTCCATCCGTGTTTTTAATGAGCCCCAGTTTAATCTAGACAGGAGAGGGAAGGCAAGAAAAACAGAGAGAGAACAACAACTGATTGCTTTTGTTGTGAAATGTACGTTGCCCCTTCTTTTTGGAAGGGAGGTGCATAAGGTCAGGGATGGAGCTATTGTTTCTTTGGTGCCATCTGGAGCTTCCAAAATCTGAACAATGCCTGTGAGCACAAAACAAACACACACACAAAACAATTCCTCCAAATTAACCACCAATATTTTTAATTAGAGTCTCCAAACACATGGTCTCCTCTTGCAAGCCCTTATGTGAATGTATAGTCCCTGTGAAGGCAGCTGACTTTTCATATGAATCAAAGGTTACAGGATCAGGCCTGTATTTTCCATCATATTTGGAAAGCCCTTTCTCCCTATTTGTCATTAGACAGTCAGATACCAGAGTCATCTATAACAATATTTATCACTTACATTTTGTTTCTAACATTCAAAGCACTTTATAAATTTTATCAGTTTAATTCTCACAACAGCTGAGAGAGGTAGTATTAGTATCTTCACTGTACAGCTGGGGGAAAGGTGGGATGAGGAGGTTAAGAGTTATTCAAAACCAGAATGGAAGATCTAAGATTAAGAGATCTAGGATTAAAACTCAGGCTTTTACAATAACCAGCCCCTTACTTAGTCACTAGACTATACTTCTCTCTTTCCTTCTTTGCTTTCAGTATAATAGTAAAGATTTCCCTTCTTCCGGGCTTCTTATGAAGTCTGCAAACATTGGGCTAGACCTGCTGAGTGGTACCAAAAACATTGACAAATTTTATAAATTTAGCCAAGTTGCCACCCCTACATTGTACTAGCCTGATGACTGCAGACTATGCTGGTGCGTTATAGAATTTGTCAATCTTTTTGGTACTATTCAGTTGGTCTGCAGCTTATTCCAGGAAGATTTTAAAACTTGCAGGGACATGGCTCAGCTCCTCATCTTATGTAAATCAGCACGACTCCACTGACTTTAATAAAACTATGCTGATTTACAGTAGCTGAAGATCTAGCCCAGTGTCTGCCAATATGAGAAGCAGTGAATGAAGTGTCAATAGATAAGACTATAATCACAATTTTGGGAGAGGAAATCAACAGCTACTGTACAAGAGGATTTTCAGTCTAATAAATTAAACTAAATGAGGCTGCCACACTGAATGGTGGCATAAAGCCATGGTTGCTGGCATGATATAACATTATCACATAATAGGTGAATTTGACATGGACAGTAGGTGTTGATTTCCTCTCTCAAAATTGTGATTACTGCCTTAACTACTGACACTTCATTCACTACCAGTTCCTCAGCTCCCTTCTCCCATGCTGACAAGAAATAGCAGGTGACCTAAAATTGTAGGCCTTGGAAGGATCATGTGAACATACTGAACACACTGATGATGATTAATTGGTTTCCTTAGCAACTGAGAATTCTGAGATTATATTCCCTTGATTATTGGTGTGCTCAGTGCTAATGTGAATAGTGGAGAGGAACCAAAGTAGAAGTGTAGCATCCATTAATTGCGTGCACCCACAAGGACCGAAAGAATACCCACTCTCAGCAGACTACCTGACCCACAACAATGAGATGGTGCTCTTTAAAACTCGAGCCTAATAACAGACACAACCCTCATTTTGTGAAAAAGCAGGCAAGAGCCTTTATTATACGGAAAGAGTTTGAATCAATATATATAACTCAAAGAATGCCAGCTCTTATTCATGGGGGGGATCACCTTTCCCACTGGTATTATGCCACCTTGTTAACATATGGGGCCTGATTCTGCACTGCCTTACAGCTTATGTAGTCATTTATACCTGTGCAAAATGGGAATACAAGGTTACCACATTAGAATTTTCCCTGCACTTATACCAGTGGTAGCAATATACATCCATTTTGCACTCACTTTGCATAGCTGTACATGATTACACAAGGTGCAAGGCATTAGCGGGTCAGACCAATGGGAGGTTTTGGTGAGCAAGGAATGCAGGCCCTTGATGGAGCAAAATAATGTCAGTTTCTCTTCCCCAAAGCCACCCAGTAACATTCACCTTCAATATTCTGCTTTCTCTTCACATGCAGGAGATGCTACTGAGATCAAGAGAATGATCACATGTCGGGAATGCAGAATATGAGAGTTGAATACCTCCGATCCTCATGGTAAGAAACTTTCCATAGATCTGTAAGTACAAAGATGTTAATGTCAGGCTTCCAATGGGGCATTATAAACCGTGAGGGGTGCACAAGTGTGTTGTTAAAAAAATACTAATATAGCTTTAAAAAAATAAAAAATCAGAGAGGCCAGTACACTTGGATATTTTGCTTACAATTATGGTGCACTATGAAAGGAAGGTATTGTTCATATAGAACAGTCATAACAATTCTCCTGATCATGCAACATACAGCTGGAGCCTCCTGCTAGCACTTGGACACGAAGTAAGAGACTACTCATTTCAAAGTAAGCTTTATACTTTGTTCTCTTACAGGAGGTTTCTTTCCCCCTCCACTTTTTACTGATTTCTGTGTAAGCTCATAATGGGCTAGATCAATAATGGGCTAGATTCTGCCCGCGCTTACCCTCTCTGTCACATTACTAAGACCAGTGGGGTTAACTGATGGCAGCATTGGGCCCACTGTCCTACATTTATTTCACAATTTGTGTTTTGTTAAGTATACTTCCTCTAAAACATGTAGACACAAAACTTCAGGTCATCAGAGAAGCCATTTTCCTGCACACCTCTGGCTGCGGTGCTGCTGATACAGGAGACAGCAGAGTTTGAAGGCAGTGGAACACCATGGGACCCACTTGCAAGGAAGTGAGTATGCTGAAAGAAATAGCAGATGGGTTTATCCCTGAACATATTGGAGAAAAGGAGATTGCTGACTAAACAGGAGAAGCTTCAGTTCAACACCAAACATTCGTGTTTCCTTTTTTAGTTTAGCTTTTACTGCTGCTTAGGTGTGAGTGTGGCTTACTGAATCAATACTACTGGGTGACTCATTTACAGTCAGGAGAAGTGGCACAGGAGCAAGCAAACACAGCAGAAAACAGGGGAGTTTGAGAGGGAGTTCTGTGGGAGGTGGCAAGCCCCTGTTACTTAGGGGCAGTGAGTTCTTGTGTGGGTTTTATTTTTCAGTTTGCAGAAGCTGGTAGGGGGCAGTGTGCTGTGAGAGAAGCAGAGCCTTTGATCACAGTAGAGCCTGGATTAGGGGGCAGGGCTTACTTGTTTTGGGCTCTCATAAAGGCAGTGAAGCAGCCAGTCAGCAGCACAGGACCCAGCAAACAGAGCTGAAAACAGGGAAGTTTGAGTGGGAGTTTGTAAGGGGAGCTTCGGGGAAAGAGTGCGGTGTTCAGGTTTTGTTTTGGCATTGGTTTGGGGTTTTCTGTGTTTTGCTTTCCTTCACAGGAGTTTAGGCAGGAAGGCTATGACAAATGCAGAGGCAGCAGTGGTAGCGACCCAAGGAATGGAAGAGACAATGAAGATGACTGGCTATGGAAGCTGCGGGATGTACGTTGCTCTGGAGTGGATACCCAAAAATAGTTTTGTTTGCTCGACATGCCGCCTGACAGAGCGGATGGAAGAGAAGATGCAAGGTTTGGAGATGCAGGTGGAAACTATGGTTGAATTTTGGGGGAATTCAAACAGATTATAGAGAGGCAAGAGGAGACTGAAGGGAAAACTCAAGACTTGCAGATGCAAGCTGCACTGGAGAACTGTGAAGGTAGACAGCCGGAGGAGGAAAGTGGCCAGTGGAAGCATGTGACTATGGGAACCAAGCAGAGGAAAAGACCAGCTAGTGAATGAGAAATAGAGTTCAGGAACAGGTTTGCTGAGCTGGAAAATGAAGAAGGGGCACAGCAGGCAGTAACACAAGGTGGGAGGGCAAGGAAGAAGAGAAGAGCGGCTAGTCCTACAAGAAGAGGGGAAGAGTCAATGGAGATAGCCAGAGTTCTGAGTCCCAGGAGGACAGAGGCTGACTCTCAGAAGATTGCAAGTGAGAGCAAAAGACAAGAGGACTTTCAGCCAGAAAGACCAGGAGAAAGATCAGAGAATCACTAACACCAGGAAGAGGCAGGCCTATGAAATTGGTGACTCCCTATGAAAAAGAACTGACAGTCGAGTCACCTGAGTTGATCTGGAGAACAGAAGGGTGTGCTGGGAGCTAAGTTATGAGATGTGGACCTGAGGCTGAGGAGGATCCTAACGGGAGCAGAAAAAAATCGACTGATTGTCCTTCACGTGGGATCAAATGATACAGCTAGATTCTCATTAGAATGCATCAAGGGAGACTATATCAGGCTGGGGAAGATGCTTAAAGAAATGGAGGCTCAGGTGATTTTCAGTGGGATTGTACCTGTCCCAAGAGGAGGAGAATGAAGGTGAGACAAGATTATGATGATCAACAGATGGCTCAGGCAGCGGTGCTATAAGGAGGACTTTGTTCAACCACTGGGAGGACTGTTCTCATGGACTCCATCTGAGTAGGGAGGGAAACAGACTTCTGGGATGGAGGTTGGCACAACTGATTAAAAGAGCTTTAAACTAGGAACTTGGGAGAGAGGGTTGGAAGATGCTCCTGATTCTAATATTGACTGGAAAAATCAAGAAAAAAAGAAAATACAACAATGGAGTAAGGAAGAGAAGTGGGTAGGAGAATGGACATTAAGAGGAAAGATAGTGCCAATACCAATGACACTAACAGTCAGGTAGGCAATATTGGCAGAAGAATGACTGTACCTAATCGGGTGGAATCCGGGCAAAGCCAGGCAGAAACAACTAAGATGTTTGTACACCAATGCAAGGAGCCTAGGTAACAAAATGGAGGAACTATAATTACAGGTTTAGGAAATGAAACCAGATTTTATAAGGATAACAGAAGAAACATGGTAGAATAGTAGTTATGACTGGAGTACAAGTATTGAAGGATATGTTCAGGTTGAAGGCTGTTCAGGAAAGATAGAAATACAGGTAAAGGTAGTGGAGTAGCATTATATATTAATCATGAGATAGACTGTAAAGAAACTAGAAGTGATGGATTGGATAAGAACGTCTGATTGGGTCAAAATCACTTTGGGGAAGAAAGTTACTAGTGACTCAACTGTCATAGTGCTTGGGGTATGCTACAGACCCCCAGAATTTGATCTGGATATGGATAGAGACCTCTTTAATGTTTTTAGTAAAATAAATAGTACTGGGAATTGTGTAATTATGGGAGATTTTAACTTCCCAGATATAGATTAGAGGACAAGTGCTACTAATAATAGTAGGGCCCAGATTTTCCTCGATGTGGTAGCTGACAAACTTCTTCAACAAATAGTTGCAAAACCTACAAGAGATGATGCCATTTTAGATTTGATATTTTTGAGTAGTGAGAACCTCCTAGAAGTATTGGTTGTAGGGGACAACTTTTGTTTGAGTGATCATGAGCTAATTCAGGTTTCAGAGTAGCAGCCGTGTTAGTCTGTATTCACAAAAAGAAAAGGAGTATAGTGGCACCTTAGAGACTAATCAATTTATTTGAGCATAAGCTTTCGTGAGCTACAGCTGATGAAGTGAGCTGTAGCTCACGAAAGCTTATGCTCAAATAAATTGGTTAGTCTCTAAGATGAGCTAATTCAGTTTAAACTAAATGGAAGGATAAACAAAAATAGATCTGCAACTAGGATTCTTGATTTCTAAAGGGCAAACTTAAAAAAATTAAGGGAATTAGTTAGGGAAGTGAACTGGACTGAAGAACTCAAGGATCTGAATATGGAGAAGGCTTGGCATTACTTTAAATCTAAGTTGCAGAAGCTAGCTGAAGTCTGTATCCCAAGCAAGGGGTAAAAATTCATATTTCAGACCAAACTGGATGAGTAAGTATCTCAAACAGGTTATTAAGAAAAAGCAGAAAGCCTACAAGGAATGGAAGATGGGAAGGATCAGCAAGGAAAGCTACCTCTTGGAGATCAGAAACTGTAGGGACAAAGTGAGAACCTCCAAAAGCCAACTGGAGTTGGACCTTGCAAAGGAAATCAAAACCAATAGTAAAAAGTTCTATAGCCATAGAAATAAAAAGAAAAGCAGGAAAGAAAGAAGTGGGACTGCTACACCCTGAAGATGAGGTGGAGATTAAAAATAATCTAGGCATGGCCCAACAAATAAATGAATGCCTTAGTTTTGAATAAGGGTAATGAGGAGATTAGGGACAGTGACAAGGTGGCTAATGGAAAGGAGGATATGGAAGCAGAAAATACCATATTCGAGATGGAAGGCAAACTCAAACAGCTTAATGGGACTAAGGCTTGGTCTACATGCTGGAGTCATGAAATTGACAAGAAAGGCGGGCTGTCACCATGGGATGGGGGTGGCCCCCCATGCTCCCCACTCCCAGCTTGGGCTGCGCCTGCCCCGCTTGGAGCTGGGCTGCCCCTGCTCCCAGCCCAGCTGCTTCCTGGGCTCTTCACTCCCTGAGCTGGGCTGCACACACCTGGCTCCCTGCTCAAACCTGGACTGCTGCCTGGGCTTCCGCTCCCTGCTGGGAGCCCAGCTACATGGATGGTCCCGGCTCCCTACTAGGAGTCCAGCTGCATCGATGCTCCCCACTCCCCTCTGAGAGCTCGGGAGCCACCTGGACTGCGGGTACAGAGCTCCCCGCTGGGAGCCAAGGCAGCAGATGAGGTGCCGAGAGTCTTTGGGGGCAGCCGGGTTCCCAGCAAGGCGCCTGTGAGTCGAGCTGAGAGGCTAGGCTCTCAGCCCTCCACACTGCCCCTCTGAAGTCGGTGGAAGCACTCCTGGTAAGGACATGCACCACCAACAGAAGGAGGGTAGTGTGTATATGAACCACTGCAGTGATTACTGTGGTGGTTGTAAGTCAATCTAACACAGTCATCTTAAGTTTCTAGTGTAGACATGCCCTAAATCAGGGGGCCCAAATAATCTCCATCCAAGAATATTAAAGGAGCTGGCACATGAAATTGCAAGCCCAATAGCAAGGATTTTTAATGAATCTGTAAACTTGGAGGTCATACCCTATGACTAGAGAATTGCTAATCTAGTTCTTATTTTTAAGAACAGGGGGAAAGGTGATCTATGAAACTATAGGTCTATTAGTTTGACCTCAATTGTATGAAAGGTCTTGGAACAAATTTAGAAACAGAAAGTAGTTAAGGACATAGAGGTAAACAGTAATTGGGATAAAATACAACATGGTTTTACAAAACGTAGATCGTGCTGGACAAACCTGACCTTTCTTTGATGTTTTAGACAAAGGAAATGCAGTAGATCTAATCTACCTGGATTTCAGTAGGGCTTTTGATACAGTCCCACATGGGAAATTATTAGTTAAATTGGAGAAGATGGGGATTAATATGAAAACTGAAAGGTGGATGAGGAAGTGGTTAAAGGAGTCATACTGAAAGGTGAACTGTCAGACTGAAGGAAGGTTACCCATGGAGTTCCTCAGGGATCAGTCTTTGGACCAATCTTATTTAACATTTTTATTAATGACCTTGGCACAAAAAATGGGAGTGTGCTAATAAAATCTGTGGATGAAAGTTCGGAGGTGTTGCCAACATGGAAGAGGACCAGAATATCATACAAGAAGATCTGGATGTCCTTGAAAACTGGAGTAATATAAGTGAGATGAAATTATTTGTGCAAAGTGCAAGGTCCTGCACTTAGGGACTAACAACAAGAATTTGTGCTATAAGCTGGGGACTTATCAGTTGGAAGTGAGAGAGGAAAAGGAAGCCCCGGGTATATTGGTTGATCACATGATGACTATGAGCTGCCAATGTGATGCGGCTGTGAAAAAAGGCTAATGCAATCTTAGG